AATGTGACAACCAAAGCCATGAGTATGCGCCGAGCCATGTCCCTTGAGCCACGAGCATCCATCCAAAACGCCTATAGCTACAGTAGACAAAAGCCAGAGAGAGAGACACATTAATTGTACAGGGCGGACCAGGAATTCATGCGGCGAGAGGTCCGACCTTGACCTTCTCTCGTGCATTCTTTGCCCTCTCCACCAACACCTGCTTCTCCTTCCTGCGCTGGTCGGCCTCAATCTTTGCGAACCACCCTCGGGCACCATGCTTCAGCTTCGTGATCATATCAGCTGCCTTACCCTTGGTCAGATCGCCCACCTTGACAGGCGATGACTCGCCGCGCAACTTGTTGATGAAATCGAGCTGCCCCTGTGTGGGCGCGAGTCGACGCCACGGCTGACGGCGGCTGATGAAGCTCAGGGGAAACGCGTGTTGCGCGTAGCTATCCGCTCCATGTACCGCGTCGCTAAAGGTAGTCGCGGTGAGAAGTTCGCGAGGCGCGGAAAAGGGTGACTTGCTCACCCCCGGTGGCAGAGAGCGGATCTCGACGGCTCTGTAGACGGGCTTCTCGCTGCTGGCCCCGGGTTTGGCCGACGATGTCTGGTCGATTTTCTCGATGCGTATGTACGAGCCGCTGGGGGCGCTGAGCACGAAGCGCTCCGCGCCCACCTGCACCCAGGAGTAGTCGCTGATGGCGCGGATGTGCCGCTCGCCAGAGGTGTCAGCGATGAGGTCGACCACGGAGGAGTAATCGGTGAAAGTGACGGCCGTGGAGGAGTCGACTCGGGGACCCTCGCCACGAGCGACCGCCTCTCGAACCACCGCTGCTTCCGCAGCCTTTTCTCGCTTGAGACGCCTCATCCCCTTGACGGACATCTCGTTGACCAGCTCGCTCGGGTCCAGCCCGAACAGCGTTGGCGTAGTCACGATGCCGGTGTCTAAGCTCGATACGAGGTCGATGATGTGGCAGTTCTCCTTGTCCGGGTGCAAGCGCATGCCTCGACCAATCATCTGCACCAACAGGTTCCGAGACCGCGTCGGCCGACCTAGGATGATACAGTCAATGTTCGGTATGTCGGTCCCCTCCGTGAAGACACCACAGTTGATGAGGACGGGGAACTCCCCCCTTCTGAAAGCATCGAGGATCTCTCCCCGTTCGACCTGTGGCGTATCTCCCGTGACATATCGCGCGTCGAAACCGTACTCACGAAACCTGCGGGTCAAGCCCCTGACGTGGGCAATGTCGACGCAGAACACGAGGGTCGACTTGCGGTTCGCTGCCTTGGCCATCCAGCTGCGGATGGTGATGTCGTTGATCTCGTCGGTGTTGACAGCCTCTGACAGATCGCTCGTCTGGAAATCGCCGAAAGGGTTCTTTTTGACCCTGGAGAGATTCGCTGTTGATTCGACGGTGGTGAAGACGACGTCGGACAGCCACTTGTCCGAGATCATGTCGACGTAGTCTTTGTGGTAGACAATCTCGTCAATCGCCGCGCCGAGCTTGACCCCGTCAAACCGTGCAAAGGTCGCTGACACGCCCACTAGAGCAGGTGAATCGTCGCGCTTCGTATTGAGGCCAAAGTGGCTGAGGACCTTCATGTACCCGGGCGCAACAATGTGGTGGGCTTCGTCCACGAGCACAAGCTTGTAGTTGGACGGGTTGTACTTGTCCAGCCGATCCTTTGAGTTGATGCTCTGCACGCTGGCAATGGTAATGTCTGCGGCGCCGCACGCATGAATGTTGCCCATCTCAATCTCGATGCGCTTCCCAGGGTAATTCAGCCGGCAGTGTCGAGCGGCTTGCTCAACGAGCTCGCGACGATGCGCGAGAATGAGTGTGCTGTCGCCCCCGTTTGCACGCTTCTCAATTTTCTCAATGAGCTGTGTGAAGATGACCTGCCCCAGGGATCAGTTCTGAATTGCATCTCATGTATGAACATGGGTTTCGCTCACAGTTTTCCCACTGCCAGTTGCGAGAGAGATTCCGACCCGCTTGTGTCCTCTCTTGAGCGCAGAAATAACGGATTTGATGCATTCTAGCTGGTAGTTGCGCAACTGCAGTTTGGGTGACTTGGGTTCAGACGCCGTGGTCGCATAGGTCGATCGCCTCAAGGTCTGGACGGGGACAGCTGTTCGAGCCCGTCCCTGGAGGCCCAATATTGGACGTGTCTGATAAAGACACCTTGACAGTGAGTGTAGCATGGCACATGGCGATGGTCGTGTCATCGACGGTGTGTATGTGGACGATGAAGGGCAGTCAAAGTCGCGTTCATCAAGGAGACTGGACTGGCCGGCCTGGCATCATGAAATTTCCAGGCCTGCCTAGCGCTTTTTCAGTCTAGCACTATCTGCCGTTGACCGTCACAACAGGCGCATTTGTTAGTGCAATGCATCATTACCTATTAGGGATAGATTGGGGGTCCGACCCACCTTTACGCGCCTAAGCAGCGGCAGCAGTCGACGCCGCTGCTTCATCACAGTCAAAGAGCTAACTTACATTACGCAGGAAACATTGAAGGGCGGAGTGGAATTTCTCATCCAAGCAAGACCGTTGCCCATCTGATTCTTTATTTCTAAAGGATCAAAGATATCGTCAAATGAATGTCCCAGACGCAATCTATAGGTGAATATGGAAGGCTGGAACGATTGGATCTATCTGGCTATTCAGCCTACCCGGGTCCTGCAGTACTCATGGCGGCGCAGCTTCTGACGCAGGTGGTCTTTGCATATGGAACCTCATTATGGGCACACGGCCTTCAAACCAAAGAGAGGGTAGGTCTCCACTGCATGCATTTAGATGGGCAGGTAAGGTTAGGCCTATATCGTTTATTCTGCCTTCGCGCGTTATCGTGGATGCATGTTTGTAAAGTCACGTGGAGACCGTAAATCTCAAAGACGCGAGTCTTCTTGCCGGCTCAAAAAACCATCAGGCCATCCACAATTTTCACTCGGCCCTTGTACCCTCCGCGGCTCCAGCCGTCAAGTACACCTCTCGCGATAACAGGGGAAGCTCTTAACATGAGTCTAACAATCATTGCCGTCTACCGCTGCGCCTACCCGAAACAAGGTAGACCATGAGCTCAGACTATGAATATGAGCCTCTCGACGACCACGACGCCGGGCTTGCGGATCTGATTCCGTTTCCCGAGACACCGTCCCCCGTCGCATCGCCAGGACGGCTGCGCCCACGGAAATCGTCTCCAGTGGACGACTCGGATGCGGGCCAGGAAACCAGAGCTATTCAGGAAAACCCACGGTATCATATCAACGAGCCCATCGACGACCACACTGCAGCTTCGAGTGCTGCTCAGCTTGGAGAAACCTACCATGAAAAGCTTGAGCCGCCATCACGGCAAACGCCATCACCAGACCCGAGCAAGCGCATCGACCCAGATTTTGACCCCCTTGACCAAGGCTCCGGAGACCCGTCTGCAGAGGAGGCCGAAGAGTCAGACCGCGAAGAGACCGGGGATGAGCTGCCATTGAAGCGGTCCGCTGAAGATCCTGCGGCTTTCAGGCCCCTGAAAAGACAAAAAGGGAACTTCAACTCTGCTTACATCAACCTGTTCAATGCAGCTGTCGAGGATGCCTCCCATAGGGTAGTGCTGAACGACGAGGCCGAGCCGCCGAATTCTCAAATCGGCCTCACTTTCTGGTCAAGCATTGAGAAGAAGTTGTTCTTCGAGGCGGTTGCACGTCTTGGCAAGGACGATCTGCAAGGGGTTGCAGAACGAGTTGGCAGTAAGAGCCCCGTGGAAGTGCGACACTTCATTGAAGTTCTCGAAGCTGGTCTCAAGCGTTATACCGACAATGGGAGCAGCTCACTCGTGTCGATGGAGGAATACCCTGCGGCTATGGAACTCAGCCAGCAGTGCTGCCATGCGCTCGACGATGCTGCTGACGCTCTCTCGCTGAAACAGGAACGCCGCGAGCAGCATCGCGAGGAAAAGAAATGGGCTGAGGTCTGGGACTTGACACCTGATGTCTCCAGAAGACTTCGAGCCGGCGACAAACGCTTGCAAGCTACGTCAGCGTTGCCTTCGATAGGACTGTTCCATCTGCACAACTGGCTTAGCGTGTCGCAACGGATATTTCTCAACTCGTCGGTACCGGCTGACAACTGGAACCATATTGACGACGTCCCGCCTTCCATATGGACATCGACTTTCGAAGATTTCTACTCGCTCACAGTATCCATCACCAGGAGGCTGGTGCAGACTGCGATATATGCCGCGTCCACTCGGATTAAAAGTCAAAGGGAGCGGCATCCTCATCAACGAAGTCTTGTACGAGGGAGGGATATTAGGACAGCTGTGGAAGCCTTGAATCTTCCGCAAAACCCAAGAGACTTTTGGCGGAAAAGTGCGCGCCGGTTACGATTGGTCGTGTATAATGAAGGCGAGGCCAACGACGAGGACGAGCTACTCAACTATGATCAGGTGGAGGAGGCACTTCTTTGGGAGGACGACGCTACGAAGAGAGTACCCGCGCCCGATACTGACGCACATGTCAAGGCGGAGCCGGAGCCAGATGCTGATCTTGACGTCTCAACTTCAGAGTCGACGCAAGATAGCCATGATTCTGACGAAGAAAGCGATGAGGATACGGCGGAATCGCAGGCCATCGCACAAGAGGCCGACGAGATCTTTAAATTCTCCGTCGCACCCTTCCAGAAGACGCGTAGGACGATGGAGTCTCTCGGCCATCGCATAGCAATTGAGCGAAGTCAGGAACAGTACGCCGAGGATCTTGATCAACACAACAGCTACCAAGATGAGCTGCAGATGTGGGATCTTCTCGCAAAGGCGCCGCCCAGGGAGTTGCCTAGGAGGTCAGCGCCCGGACCTCGCGCGCCAGGGATGCTAGATGTTGAGGGCAAGCTTCCTCTCGGAAGAGACTGGAGGCATACCACCAAGTATGTCGGTGAATGGGAGGTCAACATGGCCGAGGAATCGTTGACGTAGTCACAAGCTTCTCCCTTGATGGGATCCTCTTTGGGTATCATTCAAGCTCTAATATACTATCTGTCGAGGAAGCCTTCCTTATGCTGGTTCATCGGCCACGCCGGCGCCCGCCCCTACCTCGGCCTCGCCCGCGTGATCTGCCTCCCCGGGTGGGCCTGGCCGACGGCGTCGCTGCAGCTTCCTCTTCACTGTGATTCTCCTCCTGACTCGAGTTTCCATCCTCGTCCTCGCTATCCTCGTCTTCCTCCTCGTCCTCGTCCTCCGTTGACTCAGCCTTTTCTGCCTTGGCAGCGTTGCTAGCAGCCCTGGTGCGTCCACGAGACCTCCGTCCGGCAGGTTTCTCGTTGTGCGCGACCGAAACCTCCTCAGTATCCTCTCGTGATGTCCCCCTTGTTCTCGACCCCGTGCCTGCGCGTTTGCGTTTCTTGGGCGGCGAGGAAGGGATCGGCCCTTCAGGGTCGAATGCTGCCGGAGACGATTTTGTTTCGCTGGGATCGGCCCTGGCACGCTCCATGATCGCGTCGTAGAAGATGGGAAGTGGTAGCTGGAAATCGAGATATCTGTCGTCGGGTTCATCGTCGTCAAAGCTCTCTCGCTCGTCGATGGCTTGGAGATTGTAGTAGGTGCCGAGCTTCTTCCAAATGTTCGGGATGCGCGTGTGTCTGTGATAATCGGGGTCGAAGCCATGATTCCGCAGGTGTTCTGATATAGCGAGCATTCGAAAATGCTTGTGCATGCCTAATTGTGAGACGTCAGGTCATTTCATGCCTTGTTCAGAGCTTGATGGGAGGACGCACCGGCAGGTTTCCAGCGGATGACACCCTTGAACAGCGAAGCCACCTGGTCGTCCGTCCAGCAATCGTTTGGATCGATGGCGGACGACTTCTCCGGGGATGCGCTCTTGGTGTCGTCGGGTCTAGGCGTGTCAATGTCCATTTTGTCGTCGTCGCGTGCCGGTGTGGCAGCAGTGGCAGCGTGCGCGCCACCACGCCCTCGTTTCCTGGGCGGCATCGTGGCTGGCTTTGGCAGGGTATCCGCTATTGCTGGGCGACACGGGGGATGTTCAGTCGCGAGGTTGGTAGAATAAAGAGGATAGGCGATAACCAATGGCGCGATGAGTCCAATTGAGATCCTGCAACTGAAGATGCGAAATGCCAAGTACTAGCCTGGTCCTCAGACTCGTCGGGAATCAGGGTCCAAACTCCAAAGTTTGAGGTTTGCGTTTGCGTTGCCCATGAGATCATTCTCGAGTAGATGTACAGGGTACTCTTTTACGCACCTAAAATGGCGCGCTGCCTAGGTACCGAAAACTTGCACCCTCTGTCGCAACAAACGCGCCTCCAACCAGGCCTCAAAGCGCGTGTCGCGGGGCGGCTAGGTGCGTCTTCTCGTCAACTTACCTGAATTACAACTTGCCCTTTGGTCAGCTGCTGCAGATATCGCTTCCACCAGGGCTTGTTCCCAGCTCGCACCTCATGCGTGGCCAGCATTATTGAATTTGCTACAGTAGGAGCGCCGGGAGCACAACATGGCCAACGTATTTGCGGTGCCCGACTTCTGGCCCACAACCTCCTTGGTTAATGAATTACCAAATAGCGATCATGCTGGACGTTCATTCTTCTCCGAGGAACTGGTTGGTGAGTATGACGACGATGCCGTTTGTTGTTCTTGCTGATTTGCGCTAGATTGCGATGCGTCCAAGTTGCTGGATGTCACCTCAACCCACAATGAGCTCTTCTCCTGGCGAGGTCCGCCTGAAGTGGTCACTGGAATACCAGTGAATACGAGCCAACCTATGCAACAATCAGAAGCAGCCGAGCCAGACGCAACAGATGAAGTCTTCTCGGATCTGGATGACGATCTGTGGACCAAACCAGCCCCGTACACCAAGGACACATCGACACTCAGGACATGGGACTCACACATAGCGCAAGATGCGAGCACCAAGACTCCGCCTCGAAATATGACTGAAGCTGGCCCTCAGGCTTTTGAGTCGATGCTTGCGCGCGGTCAAGTACGCGCGCGCACGTCCTCTCAGCCCAGCGGCCCCGCTGTTGCCTCGAGCGTAGTGCTGGCTTCGCTTCTAGCATTGACCGTGGGCAACGAGTCGGCCTTGTTCCAAAGAAGCGAGGATGGACAACAATTCTATGATACATTGCCGGAATTTCGGCTGCATGGGTTCTCTCCCGGTGCTATCGGTGCTATCAAGAAGCGCTGCCTCACCTGTGGCGGGCAATATCTGAAGCTCGATACCTTCGTCAACAAGATGTACACTAAGGAGAGGTCGCGCTGCGCTGTTGCGCTGGCCAGTGCCGTACGCCAGGCGCTCCACTCTTTGAAGCAACACACCGTGTCTCGCTGGCAAGGGGGCTCGCTGCTACAACTTCAAGAACTTGTGAGAGCTGTCATGACCATACTAGATCCCCTTCATCACCTTGTCAGCACTGTAGACTTGGGTGGGGGCGACGCGCGGATCGTGGAAAGCGTGGAGAAGCAGACGGTCCAATTCCAAACGACACGGGGACTGCTGCCCAAGATCTGGCAGGAGTTGCTCCGAGTGGTATGCTCGCCTTGGACTGAATTCCTCGAGGAATGGATAGGGACCAGGCCCGAGACTGGCATCCCCGTGCACAGGACAAATCTTGGGCAGGCCAAGGGGTTCGTCAAGGTCGAAGCAGAGGTTTATACGGACGACTTTGGTGAGGAATGTGAGGATGTCGACTTTCGACTCAAGAAGAACCAAGCACCCAGCTTTATTCCCGATGACGTGCTTGAAATGGCATTCGAGACGGGTCGCAGCCTCCGTTTCCTCAGGGCGTGCCATCCAGAACATGCCCTGTCCAAGCCAGATACGCTGGCCAAGGCCGTGGCACCAAGTATCGACTGGCAATTCGAGTGGGACGCGATCCAAAGACTCGAAGCCCAGGTGATGGTCTACAAAGAGTCACTGGCGGGAGCGATTGAAGAATGTCGCAGCTTGGGAGAGCCACATTCGGGTCACGAATCGGGCATAGCCAGAGCAACAACGCACGCTGCTCGCGATCTGTTCACGCTCGACCCCGAAGAGATGCAAGATCGCATTGCAGCATCAATGCAAGACCTAGACAGGCAACCGACCGCAGAGGAAGCCCCAAACTCGCTGGATGAGCTGATACGTCAACATTTAGACGGCAAAGAGTCTATACTAAAAGGGAGGTCTGATGACGACATGCTGCACTGGTCATTGATTCCCAATCTCAGCTTTGGCAGGCTTATCCAAGCGCAAGCACAAGTTGTCAACCGTGAAGCGCTTCGGGAACTGTTCAGGAGCCACAACCTCCGCAATCACCTCCGACTGCAGCATGACTTCCAGCTCTTTGGCAATGGCGTGTTCTCGAGCCGACTTGCCCACGCGCTCTTCGACCCTGACCTCGAAAGAGCCGATCGACAGGCTGGTGTCGCCCGCCAAGGTGATACAATGGGTCTCCGGCTGGGAGGCCGCGATACATGGCCACCAGCGAGCTCAGAGCTACGACTCGCGCTGATGGGAGTGCTCGTTGACAGCTTTGATACACAGCCATGGGGTGGGACATTTTCCAAACCTTTCACAACGGAGGCTACTGATTTGCCCGGGGAACTGAGCTTTGCGGTGCGCGATTTGTCGGATGAAGAAATCGACAAGTGCGTCAATCCTGACTCTTTGGAGGCATTGGACTTTTTGCGACTGAGCTACAAAGCACCGTCTGAGCTGAGCTTTGCCCTGACGCCGTTGATCCTGATGCAATATGATCGCGTCTTTAAGCTTATGCTGCGCGTGCTGCGTCTAGTGTTTGTCACAGATCAGCTCTGGCGGGAGGCGATGCTCGAGCGCGGGGACGATGAACATGGATACCGATTCGTGAGGGAGGCGCGGCACTTTGTGGCCAGCATCGCGTCATACTTTCTGGACGTTGGTGTGGCTTTGCCTTGGCAGGCTTTCGAGAAGAGACTGGACAAGATTGAGGCATCGCTCGAGCAGCAGCCGACGGACGGCGTGGAGAGTCCAGAGAAACTGCGCGAGGTGCACAGTGCCGTCCTCAATGTGGTGTCGCAGTCGCTGTTCCTTCGCAAACGGCAAAAAGGGGTCCTACAGCTTCTGGAAGCGGTATTCACGATTGTGCTGCAGTACGCGAAGCTCAGGCGACAAAAGAACGAAAAGGGGGCTTCTGACGCCGCCATGTCTTCTACAATGCTCTACAAGCAGTTTAAGAAAAAGGTACAGATATTTGTCACTGTCTGTCGTGGCATGGCCGAAAAGGCACGTGTTGACAAAAGGAGGGAAGAGGACAGGGAGCTTGGGCTCGAGGGGTTGGGCGATGACACGATGGTATCGCATCTTCTATTGAAGCTCGATATCAATGGATTTTACGGCGCGCATTAGATACCCAGCGGATACCGTACCTTACCTACCTTACCTAACACATAGGCTTCATGAAAACAAGCTGCTTTCCCCCTGATTGCCTCGCCCGTAATAACTGACCCCACCAAGGACGTGCCCCTCATCGCGTCTTCCACGCGCCCGTGACCGCCAACTTCAGTCTTCAATTCAACCATCAACAATTCCCGTCATGTCGCGACCGAGTGTAGCACCCCGCAGCTTGACGCTGACCGAGGAGCTTGAGAAGCTGGAACAGTCGATCACGCTGACATTGCAAGGTCGGGATCCTACAGGATAGGGAGACACTTGACTGACCGTCTCTGCCAGAAATCGACCACAACTTCAGTAAAGCACACCGCATCGTTACCACCAGCATTCTCCCGCTCGTCGAGCAGTATGGCGACCATTCGCGGGCCGTCTGGGATGCCTCTAAATTCTGGAAGCAATTTTTTGAAGCCTCCGCCAATGTCTCGCTTTCAGGCTACGAAGCTCTCGACAACGACGCCGAGACGACCAAGAATGACGAGAGCACTGCGATACGCGACGATACCGCCATGACGCAGACACCCCGACGTGGCGAGGATGTCGACATGACCAACGTGTCGGACCACGCGCCGATGGACGCGGAAGGCGAAGAGTCCTTGCTGGATGACGGTGAATTGTCGGGTAGCACCCCTCGAGTACCAGCCACCAAGACCACGCGGACACAATTGGCCGATCTCGACTCGCCGTACGAGACCATGAAAAGGGAGATGCCCGAGAACGATGATACGACTGTGCTGCAAGAGGACGAAGAAGACTCCACCGTGCTCTTTGCACAGCGTACCGCGAGGTTACCGGACATGTCCATGACGCCCCGGCAGCTCCTCGAGCGGAAGGAAAGCGAACAGTCGGTGCAGAAGAGCAAGGATCCTCTACTCCACCGCGTACTAGACAAGAACTACCGTGTGCAAGCCACACCGCACAAACCTGCACTGCGAATATCGCCCATTAAAGGCAAGGGCAAGGGCAAGGAGCCAGCCGTTCCGTCGTGGAAGGACGACTCGCCCATGTCCTCGCCTGAGATTGCTGCGCCTCGACTCCGAAGCGAAGCCTTCATGTCGCCATACAAGAAGGGAGCGGCCGCGGCACCGCAGCGCGGTCCTCGCACACCCGGGGTCAGTGTGCAGACACCCGGGACAGGTCGCAAGGCCAGGAGCGCCTTTGACGAGGGTGAAGGGGGGATGAGCAAGGTGCCGATGGATTGGGATATTGGGGAGGAAATAGACTACGAAGACGACGACGATGCTGATCTGTACGCGGGCATGAGTCCGCCCAAAACGATCCAGTTCGCTCTGCCGCCGTCGAAGCTGCTGCAGACGCCGGCACGCGAGGCAAGCAGGAGAATCGTGGACGACATTCTGATCGATGCGGGCGCCGATCCCGAGTCCAGCGAGTACAGTCCGACAATGGTCAAGATGAACGAGGATATACTCAACGACAGCTTCTGATCGACTGGACGAAGGCTGAAACAGCGAATGAGAGACGAATTGATACCCTACTTTACAACAGTCCTGAACTGTTCATTTTGCTAGACATCCCTTTTCCTCAAGCGGCTGACTGTGCTAAGTCTTGCGCTCCGTCGGTATGCTATGTTTGCCTTTCAACAAGGGCGCCGTAGATGCAGTTGTCGACACGGAAGCCGTCTCGGGATCTCTTTTCTTTGTTTCTCCCTTTTGTTGGGCCTTTTCCTGGCGTAAGTTGTGCAGGATGCCGTCCGTGAGAGCTTGGGAGTCCTTCCGGCCAATGAAGCCGGCTGGTGTTTATTTAGCAG